TTTGTACTAGACCATTAGATCGAGGGCATTTTAGATCTTGTTGTAGGTTTGACTGTGCTTTGACTGATCTGCTTTCAACCATGTTCAGATCATCCACAAATTTCCAGTGGTGTGATCGGGCGGTGCTTGCTGCGCTATTGATGATAGCAATGAACACTATGGGCGCGAGGACGGTGCCCTGGGGAAGTCCACATGTCAGCGTCCTCCATTCAGACAGCGTGTCCTGGTAGCGGGTGCGTTGTTTCCTCCCCGTCAGGAAATCCCCCAGCCATGGAAGAAGGGATGGTCGACAGCCAAGATCTATGAGACTCGAGATTGCGGTTGTGTGATCTACGCGATCGAACGCTTTCGCGAAATCAGTCAGTATCAAACTGCTCACTGTGTCTCTCTGGTCTGAGGTCTTGTATAGCTGGTTTAGTTAATAATAGATAATACGTTTTCATCCCGGTTTATGGTTGTCCCTTGTGCTTGTCTGCTCTCTTTAATAACTCGGTGCACGGAAGGTTGGTGGTCTTCAAATCCCGCTAAATACTCCAGAACACGACCGATATTCTGCCGTACTGACATTAATTACAACCGGACCGCCATGTTTGTTAACATGTTATCTAGCATAAAAACAAAGGAGTTTCAAAGGAGTCTCACATAGGGGATGATTGCGTACTGCACTTCTTCGTACTTCCGTCGTAGGACGATCAAGATCTCGTATATTGTCCAAAAGAAAATTAAATTTATAAGAATCGGAACAATATAAACTTACGAGAAAGAAGAGGGGTATGCAAGGGGTGATTTTCAGCGAAATATTCCACTATAGCGGGATTCAGTAAATCTCTATTTTAGCCCCTGATGTCGAAACCTGGGAACGAGTCATTAACACGTGGTTGCGTGATTGCGTCATGCTACAAGCCATAGCAGCCTTGTACAGGTTTGGCCATGGCCATTAAAAATGAATTGATAGCCTGGAACAGGCCTGGCCATGGGATAGTCAAAGGGGGTTGATAGCCTTGTACAGGCTTGGGCCGTGAGACCATCTAAGGCCACAACGACTTAATTTTATGGATGACATCATCTGAAGACCCCCAAACTAGTGCTCGCGGGCGAATAAAATAAAAATCCAGCCAAAAATAAAAATGCTACTAAACCACAGGAACACAAAGGCAAAGCTGGTATTGTGAATTTGTGGCAGAACTGCGGCAGAACATAGCGACATACACGACAAGCTGGCACATGCCGGCTTGTTGCGGATTTATGAATCGACACTGTACGTATGTACTGAGGTCTTGAGTCGTGGAGCTTTGGTAGCCTGGGTGCCATCCTACAGAGTTACCACCGGCTCCGTACTGTCGCTATCTAGCAAGCTACCATGGACTATCCAGGCCAGAGCCTCGGATGACATGATCTTTTTTTTTTGCAATATTGATGCACATGCTTGCATCAGTATTGGGATGTCCAGAGGTAATCAAATCATCATGGCCTAACTGATATCAATAAAAATCAATGGATTAAATAGACACAAAAATCCAACACACACAAGGTAAGGTACACAATGTTTTACTGAAATTTCCTCAGACCCTGGACAATGAAATGGCAATAAAAATAATGCCATTTCTTGGAAATCATGATTTTCATTTCCTTCAACATTATGAGCCCAGAAAATTCACAGGATTTCTCTCTCTGTTCTGGTGGGAGTTCTTATGTACAAATGTTCTACAATATGTACATGTGTCATAAAGGTCCCATACTGTGACTTAGGATGGAATTGGTAGACATGATTTTAACTTTTCAAAGACCAGAAAATGTAGCTTCTACATGTATTTTGTTTGGAGAGTAGTGTGCTATATGACAAGAGAAACCTATCAAATGGGTACAAATTATTGGTCACTGAGAAATGGAAGAACAATTTCAGAAGTGCAACTTGTCAGCCACATTATCTTAGACAAAAAAACTACTTGTAATTGCTACTACTATATGGGAAGGATTGCTACTGCACATTTAACATAGTAGAGCTAGTTCTGAACTTAATAATAACCTTTGAAATATCAGATCTTTGATGATTATCAAAGAGGATAGAAAAACTCTTAAAAATCCTTGTCATTCTGGAAGAACCAAAATTGCATTTTTTGAGCCACTACTCAGAAATCTACACATAGTACATGTTCATTTGTATTTTCTGGACAGTTTAGTTTGTGTATGGGCAGTGTGTCCACATAGAAATACTTCCCACTGTACATGTTGTATGATGTTAGCAACAAATGGCAGTTTTAGTGTAAATGAAATCATAGGAATGGCTGCAACAATCATGTTTTAACCTTGACTGCATGTCTGGCTTGAAAACTGTTCTCAGTAACTATAAGTGCAGTTTGCAGATGGTAACATCATAATCCTAAGTCAGTATTTGAGATTCATAAGCTACATTGTACAGCTTTACATGCAAAAGGAAAAAAATAAATCAAACCTTATTGGACATCTGAGTATAAACTAGCCTTTTCATTATGTACATACTTAGGTCTATAGTGAAGACAGTATTGTTGTGGTACTAATTGTTCAATTCCTTTCTCTATTCAATCATATGTGTACCCTGTTCAAGTATTCAAGCAAGTCGGCCATGCTATCCACTGCAGTGTTCTGCAACCAACTCACCCCCCCCAAATATCATAGTTTTTGGATGACTCTCATATGAAGCATATAATTCAGAATAATACAAGTTCAAGAAAAAACTATCATATCTAAGCATCTGTAAGAAGTGATACATGGCTGACAGCATGGCTAACAACTAAAGAAATACACCTTAAATATTTCACTCAAACTCAAACTTGGGTAAATATCCTACATATCATATACAATGAAAATAGCATGAATAGATTCTGCTTAATGTAGCTTTCCAACTTAAGTAATACATTCTAGTAACTTAATAATACACCTTATGCCTAAAGTCTTTTATTTTATCAGCATCATTTCTGATCTAACTTAAATCTATGGGCACCACATGGATACCTTCAAAGTAAATAACAAATGAGATGAACTTTTTACACACATCAAATCTAGAGTACATAAGCGAATGATGAACAATCACTGAACTGATAGATGCAATAGTCAACCCGAAAGTCATGTTTATGAACTTACATTATGTCTTTGCTTGATTCAAACATGGATTATTTTTTTGTTAGAAAACTCATTTCAACTTTCCAAATGCTAAGGTCATGACTGTAATTCAAGGAGCAGCATGAATCAAAATTTGTGTAAAGAAACTAATGAAAATAAGCGCCCTATGTTCCAGGTGGGGGAGGCTCGTCTTTAGTAAGAGCGAGCCTTGGTTGACGCAATGGGATATGGGCATGCCTCATGGGTGGGGGGAGGGTGCCTCCGTACGGCATCCCTGGGGGAGGGTGGAGCACAGGGGGTACAGGAGGGGGTAGGAACCCGGGGGGAGGTACAGGGACAGGGGGTAGGGCAGACACATACATGGGAGGGGGAGGGGCTTGGTAGCCAGAAAAGGAAAAAGGAGGTGCAGTAAGTGGAGGTGGGGGGAGTGGAGGGGCTGAAGGGGTTTGTGAGATGACTTGAGGCTGCTGCTGTTGGGGCTGTTGTGGGGGGTTGACGTTGTGCAGCTGCTGTCGCTCGTGTTGCTGTTCCTTCTGTTTCTGCTGGAGTTCCAGCTGCTTCTGGATGTGCAGCTGTGCCTGCTCCTGCAACCGCCTACAGAAATGCATGTAGATCAGACAATTTAATGAAAGCTTTATTTGCTTTCTTGACTACTGTAACTGTTATCTCAAGATAAGCAGAGACACACAAATGTAGGTCTATCGGTATCAAAGAGTTTGAGTTTTTCAGCTATGTGAGGATAGCTATGGGCAGGAGCAATGTGTACAATGTAGATAAAGGGGTACACGTCAACAGACTTAGGTGGCAGTAAAACTACTGAGAAGTGTCACCAAAGAGGGCAGGACATAAATTCTTTTATGTGACACCTGCGCCGCGATAACGTTTGATACAGGTGTGTCAGCCTAGCCATACAGTATCAAACAAGATTCCACATCACACAGGCTTCCAAATGTTCCATAGAATAATTCAAAGGCATTTTGTGTACACTGAGTGCACTACTTTGCATGCACTGAGTGCACCGCTTTAAAAAATTTTATTCCACATTTGGACGTTGTAGTGTTATTGATGTTACCAATTTTTGTTTGAAATGTGTGATTTCATGGTTGAGTATGGCATAAATAAAATACTACACACTGCATTCCATATCACCAGAAGTACCTGTCTGGCCACAATTACTGAGGAGTGTCACCAGAGAGTGCAGAGATAAATTCTATTACCTGTATTTGTCCATCTCCTCAGGTGAGATAGCCGGGGGAGCCTTGGCCTGCCCGGCACTGTCTTCTTTCTTGTCCTGCTCTTTGCTCTCCTTGCTGACCTCTTGGCTCGTTTCCTTGCGAACGTCTGGTCGGACGATTCTCGGAGTCTGGTTCATGGTGAAGGAGATCTTGCCGAGACCTCCCTCAGCTCGGGAGGCATCCATGGCAGCAGCATCTGTAAGAGGGAAGCTGTTTCCAGCCATCTCTTCAACTGAAGGTTCTTCTAGCTTGAAGATGGCTTCAGCAACATCATCCTTCTTCCCTGCTACAGGCGACAGTACTTCTTTCTTCGTCATCATCTTCCTGGCAATAGGAATCTTCCCAATGATGGGAAGAACAGCCTTCTTTTCCAGAGATGGAGGTAATTTAGGACCAAAGTAGCCGGCAGGAGGGTTCTTGAGTTTGATTCCTGCCCGAGCCGCTGCATCTGCTGATTCGTCGGAGGCACTTTTCTTGTTCCTGGCCTTCTGAAGGAGCTGCTTGGCAATGGCTGCCGTGGCCTCGTTGTGAGGTCTGTCCACTGGGGATGGAACTTCTTTGCTGTTTGGTTCACTCTTGACCAGTACAGTAGGTACTGAAACTGTCTCAGATACATCTTCTAATGTTTGTTGTGAGGACACTGTGGTATTTCTGTTTGTCTGATGGTGAGAGTCGTCTCTTTCCCTGCTCCTGGAGTCATCCCTTTGTTCAGAGTTCTCTCGACTCTGCCGTCTATTGTCGATGCTCCTGGACCTCCTTGGTGAGTAGCGGGAGGACTTTCTGGAGTGTCTGGAGTAGCTCCTGTCAGAGCTGTACCTGTCTTCACTGTTGGAGTAGCGTCTCTTGTGTCCTCGCCTGGCGTGGTGTTTGTTGTAATCACTGTGCTCCCCTGATGTGGAGTAGTCTGAGGATGAATGGTGAGCGTGCCTCCGTCGATTCCTCCTCTCACTGTTCCTGTCGCGGGACCTCCTGTGACGGTCTTCAGAGCTGTAAGAATAGCTGTCTGTGTAGTCCCTCGGCTGCCTTTTGTGGCTTTCATCTCGTTCAGAGTAGCTGTTGTAGGAGTAGTCTCTCCTGCTGTGATGCCCATCCTCCTTATTCCTCTGTCTGCTGTCTACACGCTCAGAGCCACTGCCTTCGTTGCTGGAGTACTCTGAGGAGGAGTACCTCCGGTGAGACTGATGTTTCTCCCTGTCCTCACTCAGGCTGTGCCTGCTACTCCTGCTCTGTCTCTCTGAACTTCCATCCTGTCGTTCAAGATTGTTTTCAGACCTCCTTGACGCCCTGTCTTCCCTGGACATAAGGTTTCTCTTCCCCTGCAGACTTTCCATTCGGTGTTTCTCACTTCTCCTCCTGGCTTCTGACTCACTGGAGTTGCTGTGACGTCTTGTTCTGGTGTGGTCTGTGTCCTCGCCTTTACGACCAGACCTCTCTTTGTCCTTCCCTCCTTTGGCATGCTCCACTTTTGCTGAATGTTTCTCCCTGTACTTTTTCCCCCCACCAGATGACTGACTGCTCCCTGAGGAGGACCCGGTCCTAGTCATCAACTTACTGCCTTCTTTTGTGTCTTCCTTAGATTTCTTTGACATCTTACTGCTATGAGAATGCTTTTCGTCATCAGAGTCTTCTTGCTGGCTTTCTGACTCAGACTTTGACTGCTGCTTTCTCCTCTGAATTTGTTTCTCCCCATTTTTTGAAGACTTCTCCCTTCCTTTCTTCCTTGCTACTTTCTGGCTGCTGCTGTCTGTAACATGTGGTGAGGAAGAGGGGCCTTTGTACTTTCCTGATGTTTTAAGGGCAACTTTGGCTTTTGGACTTTTGTCAGCTTTTGTGGGGGAAGCTTTCTTGCTTTTGTTCTTACTCATCTGTTCTGGCTCGCTTTCGTCACTTCCAGACTTTTCTGAGGCACTTGAGCTTTCTGAATGACTTTCCCACTTGGACTTCATCAGTTTGCTGACCATGCGATGGCTGTCTTCCTTTGTTGTACCCTTTTTGTGTTTGTGTTTTGGCTTTTCTGCCTGCTCTGTGTTATGCTGGTACTTTTTGACCTGTGTTGCTTATGTGAGAGGGTTGGGGGGAGTGCTGCTCCAAAGTAATCCTCCTCTTCTGTGTCTTCACTATCTTCAGCTGATTCTGCTGTTTTGACCTTCTTTGATTTGGCTTTTTTAGACTTCCTTGGTCTTGGCGATGAGGCTTCAGCCGCTGAACTTTCCTCAGAGGAACCATCTGATTCTGCTTTAGCTTCTTCTTCTGTGATCTTCTTTGACTTCTTCTTTGTGCTTTGCTTCTTGTTTTTATCCTCTTCTGAAATAGATTCCACTGATGGACTTCTTTGCTCTCGAGACTTCTTTGACTTTTTCTTCTCTTTTGATCTACCATGATGAGATGAGGTGTGTGGTGTGTCTTCCTGGGGTTCTTCCTCCTGTTTGTGGGATTTCTTCTTCTTGCTTCTCCTGGTGGACACTGTTTCTACATTTTGAGGCACTTCTTGTTTAGGGGAATGCTTTCGCTGCATAGTTTCATCTTGTGAGGAATCCTCCTCCTCAGATGGTGGGAATGACTCTGTCTTTCTTGACCGCTTCTTTTTCTTACTGCTCTTCTTTGATTTCTTACTTTTGGCTGAGTTGTCGAGAGCAGGTGTCTTTTGTTTGCTCTTAGCTGTGTGTCTTTCTTTACCCCTTCGTTTAGCATGACTTTGGAGAGCAGCCTCTTCTTTTGTCTCCTCCTCCTCAGATTCTGATTCTGAAGAACTTTCTGAAGAATCTTTTTCCACGACTACTTTTGGCCTTTTTGCCTTTCTGGATGATGACGACTTCTCCTTGATCACTTTGTCCTTTCTCTTGTATTTTCTTTTCCTGCTTTTCTTGTCTTCCTCATACAGGGACTCCTCAGAATCAGACCCTTCTGACTCCTGAGTTATTTGTCCTTTCTGGTGTTTCTTCTCGGGTCGCTCATTGCTAGAGCTGTTCTCAGTCCTCCCTATGGATGTATTGTCATCTTCTAAATCTGACTCAGACTCTGATGATGATGACTCGGGGCTTGGCTGTTTCATGTGCCTTTCACGGTGTCTGCTCCCCTTTTGCTGTTTCCTCTTCCTCGCAGGCACCTTCTCTTGGTCTTCATCATCTGAACTTTCATCTGTCTCACTGGGTGACTTCCTCCTCTTTGAGCCTTTCTTCTTTTTACTCTTCTTGGAATGTTTCCTGCTCAACTCCTCCCCATCTCTTCTCCTTTTCCTTCCATCATCAGAGCTCTCCGAGCCAGAACTGTGATGTTTCTTCCCGTTTTTGCCCACAGTGCCCTTGGAAGTGTTGCCGCCATTTTTTTGCGAGGTGGAAGCCCTGTTGCCGTTTCCGTTTCCCTGTTGGGAGTGGCTGTTACGATCCCCGCCGGACGTCTTACCTTCCCCATCAACAGCCTCATCCCTGCTTCCATTGCCTGAGGCAGGCACTACGTCTTCAGAAGCAGTTTTGCTGGAACTTTTCTTGGGAGAAGTGCTTGGCCTTTGCTTAGGAACAAACTGCCGAGGCACCAATAGACTTTGAGAAGCCCCTACAGCTGCAGTGGTGGGGCCAGTTTTGGCCTGGGATGATTTGAAAACATTTGGTGGTGGTTTTAAAGGCCAGGCATTGGGTGCAGGGTGCTTTTGCCTGTTGGATGCATTTTTATGTTTCACCTGCACACTTCTTACAGCCCATTCCTCACGATGGTCACTACACCATCCCGGCTCAGTGTAAGGGTACCAACCACGATTTAAAGCACTTGGAGAGCTGGAGCCATCAGAACGGAGGTCCTTCTGATCATATAAGGCATCAATGATGGACTGAAGATCTGCTGAATGTGGCGTGGTGTCTTCTTCAAGTTGCTGGCTACTGGCTGGTCCTGGATGGGTGAGTGTACGGAACTCAAAGTGAAGAGGGTTACAACTATAGGACAAGACAGGTGACGTCTGGGTGAAACGGATCATCTCTGCTGGCCACTGCAAGACGGTGTCATCTTTGCTGACAACATCGACAAAGCTTGGCTTGCCCTCTTTGGCAGAGACGTCTGGGGAACGATCCAGCTTGGAAGGGATTCCTTGCGACGGTTCCCTTTTCACAGGGCTTGGCTTTCTGTCAAGGGTTGTGCAGCTTGTATGAGAGCCATTTGAATTTCTGGAAAGGCTGTTTCCATTCCTGCTTGATGTAGTAACTTCCACCTGCTGGTTGCCAGCATACTCTGATTCCTGCTTCACAAGAACAGCCATCTCCTGTTCACTAGAGCTGAGAGCTGGGTCACTTTCCTGAACATCATCACACTTACGAGTCCTTGCCTCCTCCAAAGGGTCTTTGTTGTTGCTTTCTTGTGTATCGTTGAGAGCGATATTGGTGTCAGCTTTCTGCTCGTAGGCACCGTTCTTCTTTTTCTTCCTTCGGACGGTCTCCACTAGCCCCGTGTCTTTATTAATTATGATCTGATCATTTGACTTGATGAAAATCATGAAGGGCCAGCGAGGCTTGACCCTACAGTGTGGCGGAGGGAAGTAATGATAATACTCCCTCTCTCCCTCCTCCTCTTCCTCTTTTTTCACCCTCCTCCTTTTCCTGACATCTTTCTCATCTTTCTTATCTGCTTCTTCGCTTTTTTCCTTCTTTGGCACTTCTGTAGGAGGAGGCAGGGCAGACATTTTCTTCCTCTGACCAGTGGGATTCTCCTCTTCGCTGTCGTCTCCATTCTCTTCTGCGTTGTCTCCAAAGACAGAAGACAACTGGATCTTTGTGCTCGCCTTCTTTTTCACGATACTGAAGGAGAACCCTGTTTTGGGAGACATGGAGGCAGCCTGTCCGACATTTGAGGCACCGTTATGGCTGTTTCCAGCAAAAGTCTCCAGCCTTTTCTTGGCAAGAGCTTTTCCTAGCAGCGACATCGCGGACGTTTCTATCGGACTCATTTCTTCCTCATCTTCGGGAGGTGGAGGGGGAGGGGGGGCCTCCTCGGGAGGTGGTGGGAGTGGCTCAGTTGGAAGGGGGGGTGCAGGGGGCTCTGGCATCGGGGTGTCTAGAATCAGTGTTGGTTCTGGTTCGGGAGACGGCACGTCCGGTATAATATCCACCTCTTCGTTGTCAGTCAGGTCGTCGTTGTCGAGTTCTGGGGGAGGAACGCTGTGCCACGATTGGTTCTCCTTGGGTGAGCCGTCTGATTGGCCGACCTCCACAAACCCGCTCTTGAACATCCCTCCTGCCGCTGCTCCGGCGTTCCTAAGGGGAACATAAAAAGAAGGATCACAATACCACCCTGATGTATACCACTTCACAGCATCATACCTCCTGTTCCTGATGACTACTTTTCCAGCATAGCACAAAATTACTGACATCATGGCCACAGATATATTGTTGGGACAGAGAATGTAATCACATAAAGTGTATCACGGGATGCTTATAGTTCACCCATTACATCAATATTCTAAAGAGTAAGGACCAGGACTCTAGCCAGCTCAAAAATTTTTTCCATCAGCCCAGTTTCATGATAGGGCCTGGGGGGAGAGTGCTTGCAATCTAGGGGGTCCATGGGCAAATTCGGGTTTCAAGTTTAAAAACACAATTTACCATATTTTGAGAGGGAAATTATGGAGTTTTGAGTGGATATTGGATGTTTTTTTTACCAAAGGTTTTTGTTAGATATGTCTGTCAAGGTTGGCAGAAATTGTCACACCCCACAAAGTTCCTGAAATTGATGGGAAAACGGGTGCTGGCTAGAGCCCTGGTAAAGACCATAGAATAGACCACAGGTATCCATTCAAGAATCTTTGTTGTAAATGAACTAGAACATATAGAAATTGTTATAAATACAATTACAATTATTATTTGTTGAAAGGAGACCAGTCCATTTTGAGGGTAAAAAGTTTTTATTTCATTGCTGCTTTTTATTGAATGAAATTTAGTGCTCAGCATAGAATACAATGCACCAGTAAGAAAGATCTGATCTGAAAGATCACATAGCAGTTACTGCTAGTTTTCACCAGAGTTTCATATTTGTTTGGTTACTACTAAAAGGATGTCTTTGAAGGGGGGAATATTGGATTGGTGTATGATAGGAAAGATTTCATTTCTAACTGTCTTGTAACACAACTTATTACTTAGATTACACATCACAAGCACATTTATATATAGTCCTTCAGAACTGCCTACTATCCATAATACTAGATAACATTTTTTAACATGGCAGACCTGGCAGATTTATACAAAGTAAATGTATGATAAAAGTAAATGAAAATGGATAAATTGGCAAAAGTTAGACTGCCAAAGGTATAACAATGTGGGCTAGATAATTGGGAGAAGACTTATTAGCCAGCCAGACGTATTCATCAGTCATTCAGTCATGTGTCTCCTCTTCCTGAGAGTACAGTGACCTGCATTCCTCTAGAGAGATGTATGTGAAGTCTTTGTTGAAAGAGTAGAGGAATTTTACAAACAGTCAAAGATCTACAAGTTATGTGTTCATCAATGGCAATTTCATCCAAAGGACAATCCCTTTGTAATGCGATACCCTCTCTTGTGATGCAACTCAACTTGGCCCTGCTCTATAATCAATGAAACAGAGATTATCTCTCTTTGAGAGGCCAATAATTACCAGGCGATCGATCCCCTCACAACCTGAGAGTAACACTTACCCGGCTACGCTTTATTCTGATCAATGTTACTAATTTCCGCCGGCGTCCATAATTCACATTTTTGCGAGGGAAATTTGTGGAAGAGTTTGGCAGGGGCGCCGCTACACACGCAGATCAATGGGTCTAATTTCCGTCCCGTTACATCATTTAACATCCGCCGGACAGACATACGAGGGGAAGGCCAAAGTGGAGCTGCAAATTATACAGAAGATCCAAACTCCATCCAAGTGTGCCAAATGTTGCCTCTCCTTGGAGCCAACAATCATGTTCCCCTACTGACAACTTCTTGGGAATACACCAAAGGGCAGCCTAACAATCCTGGAACTGTTTTAACTTTTGCCCTTTTATTAGACTGAGTTGATGTAACAACATCCACCTACAGGCTGCTGGATGTGCGTGTTATTTTCTCAGGAACCGTCATCACCATTTATCATGGAGGTGGGCAGGGGACTCCAGTATTCCATTTTCCGCCCACAATCAGTCACACCTTCATACTCGACTGTGCCGCTTTTCAATTAAGCGGAAGAGGCAATCTTCGCCCAGTCGCAGAAGAGGGATGGTTGGTGGAAAGGTTACGTGGAGTGCGGATGTATTGAAGCTGCACAATTCAGTAAGAATGACGGAGAGTGCCACTTATAGTCATGAACTACGGGAAAGGCTATCTGTAAAAAGTAGAATCATGACAGCAATAAAATCATGACAGCAGGACCAGATGGAAATGCCCAAAAGATAAGATGAAGTACATAAAATGCCGATAAAATATGGCTGCTGATGTTTTAGATAGCTGCAAAAAAGTTTGTCAAAAATGTTCCAATTCTGCAACAAGAAACAGTTAAGGCTGTGTACTTTAAAAAAAAGTCCATAGTATAATTATTTTGTAACAAATTTTGTGCAATTCCTTCTACAAAGTTGAAAATCTAGCACTGGCCAAGACAAAACTGTTGTCTAGGTTTTGAATCCAGCTTCGATTTCAGATCCTTAGCAAAATTACTAGGTATTATTTTTGTATTATATGAACCTGTGGGTTATCAAATATCAAACATTCTGATTCTGTTATTATTGAAACCCACAGGTTCATTGATTGACTTGTTGAAGTACAGGTACAGGTGCAGTACTTAAAATTCTGTACTGGTACAACTACCTGATGAAATGTGTAGGTAGCCAAGAATGTCAGCAGAACGTACAGCACTTTACCAAAACCTGTATTTTTCACAAATTTAATTGCAGTGCAGATGATATCTTTTATTACACAACATTCAAAAACTATAGAGGGGATGTCATCCTTAAAATGCACAAATGCAACCTTAAACAAGGCGTTATTCCAAAGTGCTGTGCCCAATACATTTATTTACGAGTTTCCTGCAGGCACAGTAAGTTCTGCCAACATGCTAGGTAGCCCTACTTACAGTCATAGTAAAGAAATGACATTCAAATGGTCCAAATCTTGGAAGCTATGCATATTCCATCACAGCATATTTGCCCAGTAGGCAAAGTTAACAACATCATCACAAATGACGAAGTTTTCAATGGGGAGGCTTACGAGTTTGGGGGACCAACATCACAGCTACCTCATCTAAACTATATCTGCACAAATTGCCAATCGAAAAGCTAATGTGCAATAATCATAAAGTTAACTTTCAGAGCACTTAAGATTCAAATCATACCTTTACACGTAGTTAAGTTGGAAAATATGCATTACCATTATATAGTGATAAAA